GGGGGGGGGGGGGGGCGCACCCCCTGCACCCTCCCCCTAGATCCGCCCCTGCAACTACAGGGCTTTGACTGGAAAGAGTTTGGTGTTTTGGATAGGTGGTCGCTTACGAGCGCTGGTCGCACATGAGGTATCACTGGGGGCCGAAGATGAACTTGAAATGTACTGAACGAGAAAATTAGAGTGATCTAAAAATAAATCGGTCTGTTAAACGCCAGCTCATAGGCTTAGTATGGATGTTGCTGGCCCCAGATTATATGCTCCTGCTAGTTCCCAGGACCTTAATGCTTCTAAGGCGGTCAAACGGAATGAGCGCCGAGACGGACGCTTGTTACGTAATGCGAGCACAAGAAGACCTAAAAAATAAAGGACGTACAATCCGTGTATGTAATGTAATACATCTTTTTATCAGGCGAAAGGCCTGTAAATAGAAAAATACCTTGTAAGTTTGTACCTAATCGGTATAAATCCATCTTACGTAACGCTCTGCTTTCTACCCCCCCCCCCCCCCCCCCCAACCCCTCCGCCCACTTAAGACGACTCATGCTGGCTATGCCATGCAAATACGATCATATACAAACCGTCTAGTAAACCAAGTTCGATTACTAGGCGAAACTGAAACCTAGCTTGAAATTATTTTGCAGAGCCTTCCAGACTTTTGCTAAAAATAAAACAATCGAAACATTAACAAAAGCAAACCCTCTTTGTTTGAGTATGAATGAATTATATAATTATAACCTAAAGGACCTGACAAGGGGTTGCACATCTCTCGTTTCTGGTCTCTGGCGTCTTCCTCCTAGCTTTTTCGATTCTTAATCACAAGCAACATCTTACACTAAGTCTAAGCCTAAGTGAATTTTAACCTCAAATTTGCTCTCAAATCACGCCGAGCTTTTTTTTTGGTCCAGACCATTCATTCCAGCCGTTCAATCATGCAGAATAATGAGAGAGCTGGCTAGAAACTAAAACATTAAAAATGAAAAAAAAAAATAGTGGAAGAAAAGTTAACAATGTTCAGTAGGGTGTTTTCCGTTGACAATGTATCCAAACTTTTGTCAAGTTGTGGTCACTACATTAAAATGGAAATTCACTAACAGTTTCAAATGCAGTAGACCGTTAAGGCAGCACGTTACAGCAGCAAAAGACATATATTTGACAACAAAATGATGGCGCAGCTTACTAGAAAGGCGTCGAATCAAACATAGCAGTTGATGATTAAACGGGTTGGTTGAAAGAATCCAAATAGCTAACTGAGGCAACGCATTTTATATGGAGGTGCCAGATGAAAAACTTTTAGGTTCGTTTCTCTAAGAGCTCTCTTTTCTTTGATGCGCAAATTCTTCTGTTATTACAATGGAGTACGATGCACAATCAACTAAACGTTCAAAAAACGTTACCTTCAATAGCACTGAAAAAGATGTAGAAGCAAAACAAACTCCTCATGGTTGGTCCCTTCATTTGAGTCTCTTAAGTCCGAAGGTGACAGTTCTTGCCAGTTGCCTTTACTTGCCTCGGCAGGTAATAACTCTTGATAATTCAATTTTGTTTTATAGTCTGGCAGCTGTCAATTATGTTTTTGTAGATGTAATTTGACCAAAAGGGCGCATTCAGTGGACCGTATTTTATAATTAGAATTGTCGTAGAGGGAAAAGTTTTGAAGTCTAGGCCTTTGTACACTATGCTTTTGTTTCCCCCGCTAACTGTTCCACATTTATGCTCCATTTGTCCCTGTAAAATGCTTGGTCGCCCCCTAAAAATTCACTAAAATGCTCGATAATGCTCATCATAAATAGGCTTTTTTTATTGATTCTGAACGTTTTAATGGGGTTTACGGCTAACAAAAAACGTATCAGTGGTATGACAACAATGTATACTTAACAATTATTCCTCGAGCCCGAATGGGCCCTGAGTCAATAGCCCGTGAGGCCGAAGGCCGAATGGGCTATTGACTCAGAGGCCATGAGGGGGAGAGGAATAATTGTCATAGTAAAATCCAACTAGTTGGTCAAAAATATCAAGAATAAAAAATTTTGGCAAGTTAAAGCTACACTCTAATCATTTTTTGCCGCCAAAAAGTCTGCGCTTTTTGTTATTAGTGGGCTATAACATATAGCCTAGTAGTAGCTAAACCAGACAGAACGCAACATTGTTAATAGACCACTAGTTGGATTTTACTAAAAGTAAATAGTTCAATACAGCAAAAAATGCCTATAATCTACACGATTATATTAATGTAAAATTTGAATATATTTTTGAATTTGAACTTTAAGTCATTATTTCTCTTAGAATTTTTATTTTCTGTGGAAAAAAAACTAATTTTTCGGAAAAAAAATAACATCAATAGTTTTAATAATGCTTAATGTTTTTTCCTCAATCAAATGCTCAAACTGAAATGCTAGCGTACCGTACGAAGACCAACTGAAGTCAGTTCATAATCCGCAAAAACGTTTATATTTATAAACATAGATGAATATATTTTGTACTCATGAAATTAAGAATGAGTGATTTTGCTCCTATTGCCTTGATTCTAGAATCAGCGGGTCGTGAATGAAATCCAAAGCATGGAGTCGAACTGACTGATAAACTTATGCATTCCTGCCACAGCCGCACACGTAACTTGCGCACCAGTTTGGTCAAGTTAAATTGATCTATTCACTACTTTCACATAGACCATAATGCACCTTGTCTATCCCCCAGAATTCTGCATAACCATTGTTTCCAATTTCTCCTGGGTATTACAGTCGTCCCAAGAGAAATCTAAAACAATAGATATGCAATTTTTTTTTCGGGAGGGGGGGGGGGGG